AAAGAAAGAAAGAAAGAAAGAAAGAAAGAAAGAAAGAAAGAAAGAAAGAAAGAAAGAAAGAAAGAAAGAAAGAAAGAAACACTAAAGTTGGGGAAAGTTTTGCAGGAGAAAACTGGGGGGAATTTTATCAGCTCAAGTTGGACTCCCCCACTAACTCTCTTTCTCTTTTCCTCCCTCCTTTCCCCTTTTTTTCCTCTCCCCCCCCCCTCTTTCTTTCTCTCTCTCTCTCTTTTCTTTTTTTTTTTAAAGGGAAGGCATTATTTCTGAAAGAACCAGGATGGCGCCAGCCGGCTCAGTATTCAGAGACAGCTGCGGCGAGACACAACTTAAGGAGGTTCTCGTGTCATCAGCAAGAACAGGGAGGAGCCTGTCCGCCAACGAGGAGGGGACAAAGAGGTGGGTTTGGGGGGGGGGAGAGAAGGAGGGAAGCAATGCGAGCTCTCCGATGCCGCTGCTCCTTTTTCCTTCTCCCCGCCCCACAACACCGCCCTTTACAAAAAATAAAAAATTGAAGAAGGAGGCCACCGTTCCTCCCCTCCTTACCGAACCCGGTAAAGGACCAACCTTTTGCTCATTTAGGAGTGATTGTGAAAGAGTTAACCACCTCTGGTAAAGATTAGGGGGGGGTTAGGGTTGATGATCCCCGGAGGGGGAGGGGGCAGGAAAAAGCCAGCCCTGTTTCCATTCCGGAGCTGTGTCAGCTCGTGGATGATTGAGTTACCATTTCAGAAGAAGGGGGCCTGCCGTTTACTTAGGGGTCCAGACCCCTAGTAGTACTTGTGTTTCGAGCCCCACATAAGTTAGCACGTACCTGAGCGAACGGAGAAAAAAAAACAGACTTTATTTCGTATCTTTGTGCCCGACCCTCCGCCCGGAGTTAATCAGATCTAGACTGCGCTTATGTGTTTGCTCAAAGGAAAGGGCGTATTTAAAATAATGTTTAATCGTCTCTGTTCAAGGGGGCGATTTGGAAACAAGGTGTCTTATTCTCCCCCCACCCCCTACCTCGGTCGCGTTATGGAGCGAATAAAATGGAAAGTAGCAAACCCCTGGAATGAAGAGAAAACTGGGCGAAAGGTCAGTATGAATAATTATCATTAGGATTACTGCGTCGCTTCTGTTGGCGGGAGGAAGCGGAAAAATCAAGAGGGGAGAAACTTATTTTATTTTCCAGGCCTGAGCTGAGTGTGCAAGGATGGCACATCTCAAAAGTTTCCCAAATCCCCTAATGATACCGTGAAAGCGCACACCTGTAACACGAATTGGCTGATCCATACAGATCACTGGTTAGAGCCATTAAAGTTTGGAAAGGGGGGCATTAAGAAAAAAAAAAGACGCAGAGAAGAATGGATACTTCCGGAACCAATCAGGAAACAGCGAGAGCCCGCTGGTCGCCGAAACCTTCAGCGATTGGCTGCTGGCCTCGCGTTCGAACTTTTAACTACTCGCTCAACGTTCTCTGTCCATTGAAGCCAGGGCATCCCCTAGCGGTTCATTCACGTTCAAGAACCAGGCGGAGCAAGTCCGTCTTGCTTTCTTATTGAAGTGCAACAAGTTGTATCAACTTCCTTTCCGCTCTCCCGGTCACCCAAAATGGAGTGAATCTGAGTCATCGAACGGCGGAGAGGGGGCAATAGGCAGAGATTAAAACGCGCATGCCTTATACATGAAAGGACTTTTTTTTTTAATTTAAGTTCCTGTGTTTTTAAATGTCCATTGCATTTTCTAACCCTTTAAAATGCTTACTGTTGTGTTCGTCTATTTGATTCTCTTCTACTGCTGTTTTGCTGGGGTGGATAAAATTTTTTCCCCCCAATAAATTTTCCCCTTTCCTTTTTCTTCCAACAGAAAACTTAAAAATAAGGAGTGTTTTCTTGATTAACTAGAACAGGAGTCTATTTACTCAGAAGTAAGTCCTCCGGAGTTAATTTATTTCCTGGGGAAATAGGACATGAGATCTACGGAACACTGAACAAAAAAAGGGGGTTTCTACATCAACTTTAAGGAAGCGAAAGGAGGTGATCCCAATGCTCCGGCTTAATTAACCCGTGGACCGACCTTTACAGAGCTTTCTTCTTTTCCTCTACATTAATACAGATTTGAGCCCAGGCCCTGTTGTATTTCAGTGATCAAAACAACCAGCGGAGATATTTGCTTAGATGGTAATTAAATACTTTCTGGTCACGTCCTCCTCGGAGGCCCGGAGTTCTGGCCTAAATCGCTTTCTTGAGCGCATGTCTCCATAACCCCTCAATACGCTGATTCCAAGATATCTCCGACGCCCGGTCATTCCTGCAGTCAAAATTCCTGCAGCTTAAATTTGCAGTCCTAGAAACACGGGCACGCAGGAAAACCCCACTAAACAAAGCAAGACTTTGAACTAAGCCACAGTTACACCACGCGTGTGTTCTGGAGCGCAGCTTGGACGCTTCAAATACAGTAACAGCAAACTTTTTAAAGGAAAAAAAACTTTGAAATACAGGGAACTGGAAATTGAAGAGAAAAACAGTGGGAAACATGTATGAATAAAAACACTGAATATGTGTATTGCTCTTTTAAACAGAATTTGATTTTTTTGCCCATTCCAAAGTTTATAACTCAGTTCCATTCCTTTATCTTTCTTTTTTACCCTTATCTGTGACTGTATTTAATTACCGTCTAAGAGCCTGTACATTTCTTTTTTGCCTTCTTTACAGTTTCTCACTCTTATATAAATTTGCATTGAAACTCTACTCTGCAGCAGTTATAACCAGACAGGGTGCTTTCTTCCCTTTTTTAAACAAGAGAGAGAGAGAGAGCAGTAATTGCTAAGGACAGACCCGTGAAGAAAAAAGATGGGTCTTTTCCCTCGAGGATATGATCTACTAGTAGCCGACAATTGAACCATTTATCAGATAGACTCATTACAAAAGAAATGCTTAACATACAAAACAGACAAATATTCAACCCGATGGTTATGTATTTTAATTTGATTTATCAAAAAAAACGGTCCCTTGTGTACTCTTAAGACCTACATAAGGGCCGAGAGAGAAGCCCAGAGTTTTTTTAAAATCCGATATGTAAAAGTGGCCCCTTAGCTCTGCTTTGTGAAACTTTAAATATTAATCTCAGTCATTTTCTTTAAAAAAAAAAAAAAAGAATAAGAGAACTTTGAACCGGGGTTATGTCTGTTTTCAAAAGTATTCCAGACAAAATATAAATCTATGGGCCAGGGGGTTTGGACTAGGTTAATTAAATTAAGATAGATTGGATTGGATAAAATAAGTAAGAACAATTAATTATGAAGTGGGCGGTGTTATTATTTTGTCTTGACATCATTCCCTGGGGTTGCATACCACTCTTGGGTGTTC